ATAGGGTCTATTTCGAGACCTTTTCTATTTTTAATTTTTTCATTTTGTTGTTATCGTTAAAAAAAATTATGCTAAAGCACTGGAGGGTTGAAATTTATAAATCATAGTAATGAAAATCTTAAATTTATTTTTTGGCATTAAACATGTTTTTGTATTCCAACAAAAGAAAAAGAAAAAGAAAAAGAATCAAGAAAAGTTCTGTCTATTTTTTTTTTTTTGAAAGAAAAGTTCTGTCTATTTGTACCATATTTTCTATCTCAATTTGATGATTATTGCAGCTCTTGGATTTGATGATAAAATAAAATGAATTATAGTCAAACCACGTGCAAGAACTAAGAAAAAAAAAAGATTATTGCACCACTCAAATCACGTGCAAGAACCGACAAGAAAAGTCGATGTTTTTAACCAAAACAATAGTGGTTGGACCTTTGGGATTTTTCTCCCTTTCTTGGGCCAGAGATCATAAGGGGGAAGCAAGAGTGAGTAGCTTTTTAAGAATTACAAAAAAAATAGTAACAACTTTTTGCTCGCGATCCGATGGAGAAAGACCTCTAAACGGACAAGACAACCGGTACTGAATTTGCCCAGAAAGAAAAACTGGTACTGGTTCATAATGCAGTGGTACAAGGCAACCTGTATTTTTATTTATTTATTTTTAAGGCAAAATGGTGAGCATTTTTTCGCAGCTCTATCTTTAGGCACGTAGTAGCCACAATCCCTACCTACTACGCACCTGACCTAGTGCCAATTAGGGTGCGCTCGGATCTAGAATATGGGACAGAAGAAGGTTGATGGTTAAGATTTGATAAAAAAAATATATATATATAAGGTCCAAATTTTATTCTATTTATTTTTTTTTACATTATGTGTGACCTTCGCCACTGTATCTTCGACCTTCAATCAACGGTTTCGATTTCTGGTCGGCCCGGAATCGATCAGCGATCGATTCTCTGATTGGTTAGTGCAGCTGATTCCCCAGTTTGTAATGCATGAAGAGTTTGTCACCAGTAATAACAATTAGTACAAGGGCTCAGATCGATTATTATCTCTGACTGAAGTTTGAATACAAGTTCTTTTCTCGCAGCAAATCCAATTGCCATGAGAAATTCAAGCATATCTGTTGGCAAATATTGACTAAAAATTTTACTTAACAAAAGAGGAAAAAAAAAAGGACGAATTACTCACATTGCTAAGTATTCATACTGCATATCTGTCCGTTGTTAGGGTTGAAAAATAAATCGAACTTATCTCGGTAAGAGTTCGTTTGAATTTGATTTACCAACTAATTAAATCAAATTTAAACAGCGTTATATATTCGACATTGAAATACCTTGAGAAGAAAATTCAGTGCAACGCTCCTTTTTGATTCGTTTCCTTCTGTAACCAATTCAGCCAGCCAAAGATCTCCATTTTCGATTAAGTTATGCATATCCTACCTATGCAACACGCATGAAAAACAATCGCCCGAAAGATATCTAGGTTTAGTATGTAGTTATTTCAGATACTAGAGATTAAGATTAAGCTTTATCTTCAGCACAATAAAACATGGTAGACTGTGATTGACCTGCTGCTGATTAAGTTTCTGGTTTAGAAAACCCATCCACCATGGATCTGAAACTTGTGATAAAACAAAATCAATTAGCACCATTCCTGTGTTTTTTACTACAGCAACGAAAACCTGCCGTTGCCGGGTCATTTATTATATGGGATGGCATTTGCATCGTCCATTTATGGTTAGGGTTGAAAAATGAACCAACTACTCGATGCTAGAATCAAATTCTTCTTGATAAAAGTTCGTTCGAATTTGATTTGTCAAGTAATTAAATCAAATTTAAATACTGTTATATATTCGATAAAAATTCGTTTCAACTTGATTTGATAAATAAACAAATCAAATTTAAATAAAATTTCAAACTTGATAAAATAATCAAGCAAGATTGAATACTACAGTATTCGACTTAATTATACCATATCCGTTGTTGCTTTTCTCCTCCTCTTTTAATTAAGTGACTGCAACATTGGGGCTAAAGTGCTCCTCATTTTTTTTTCAATCAATCAAAGTCAGCCTTCCAAGGGTCAGCCGCCATAATTTACTTGCAAAGTCAAAGTAATCTCCATCAGCTACTCTATTAGTCTCAAATCAATCAACACTGGCTTGCTTCACCAGCGATTTCTTATTCATTCGTCATATTTGGAATCCTCTGGGGTTGACTTCTGAAGCATTTCGGCGAGGATCACCAGCAAATACGAGAAATGATATGTGAAAGGTATTTTAAATTCATATTAGTTTTTCCTTTTTCTGTCTTTTTCTGCTTTTTTTTTGGGAGGAATCTAATATTTGTGTTTTGCACATCTATAAAACATAAAAGACCTCTAGCTACTATGCATATGCAGCACCATGTCCATTACTGCGTCATACATAATTTTCTAATCGCGATTTTTTATTTTTAAAATATGTGATGGAAAATATAGAGGGTGTATATTGTATAAGATTTTTTTTTAACTTCTTACAAGTATTTGGACAATTGAATTTCTGCAGCTAACAAAAAAGAGTAGATATCCACTTTATAAGAGGGAAAATAAGTAGTATACTATCTATCTGCCTTATCCAACATTGGAAGTCTGAGAATAGTGCTATATTAAAAATTTACTTAATAGGGTGCAGAAAACCAAATAAAAATAATAGTGGGGTGAGGAGTCAAAATTCTCCATTTCTATTCCTAACCCAAAAGAAATAAGAAAAAAAAAATCACATAAAAAAAGATAATAAAGAGATAGTCCTGAATAAAGGTAAATAGGTCCTTTCCAAGATTCTTAAAAGGAAAAAAAAATCCTTTCCAAGATATATTTTTTTTTTGAGGGTCTTTCCAAGATCTTGACTTAATAGTTGGAAAGTTGGATGGTCTGCAATGGTTGCCAATTAAGTTGACTAGGAGGAGAACACCGCTCGATGCGCGGTGTAATTTTCAAAGTTGCCCAGAAATGCCCAATGATTCAAATTCAAATATTACGTATGAAAAGTTACACAAAGATACACCAAAAACTTTGCCATTCTGTTTTTGTAGTTTTATTAAGCAGTGAATATGAATAATCTGTTAAAGAAATGCAAGACAATATAATGAGAGACTCTAAGATCATTAAGATGCTCCTTGCTTTTGCATAGAATGAAAATAAAAATAAAAAAAGACACATGTAATGGAGGAGAAGGGGAAAAAATATAGCTTGAAAAAATATAGAAAGCGAGTTGTTAGTTCCTAAAAAAGGCATTTAATAGTTATAAGTTTGTTTTTTGTTGATAAAAACCACAAATCAAGTTGTCAGTTCCTAGAAAAGGATATTTAACAGCAATAAGTTTCTTTTACAATATATTCAAACGAATAATAAAATGCATATACATGCAGTATAAAGAGAAAATCTACTTAGTAAGACTAAACGTATACCAGTGCCAATTGAAAAAATTGACAAAGAAAAGAAAAAAGTATTTCTAATTGGCCACAAGCAAAATGACTCTAGACTTTCAATGACTAATAGCATCAGAGAGCTCCAGCTTCATTCTGATTCTCCTCTCATTCCCATGAACGCAAATACCTATCGAGCAGTGAACGATGGGTTTAGAAACTCACTCTATAGACGAAACTCCAAGTTAAAAGCTATAGACAAGAAGCAATGTCATAAACCAGATTACTAAACATTTGAACAAAAAAATCCTAAAGAAAATATCAGAGGATTTGAATTTCTATGGAACACTTAACTCCGATCAGAAACATCAAATTTTGGAAAAAAAAACAAAGCAATTTATACCAATCTATAATAATAGTCCGAAAGTATAAGCAAAGAAATAAGTAAAAGGACAAGATAGTACCTCAGGAGAAACCAAAAGCAACGAGATCTGACAAAATTTCTTGATGATATTAATGCAAATAATCCATGAGCATCTTCACACTTCAAGTGCACGAGAGGTAATTTTAATGTTTCTAAACAAAAGAAAAAGGATCATATCTCAGGAATCGAGAAAGCAACAAAGACAATCTTAACCAAAACCAGCGAGAATAATTAAACCCAACAGGATAATGCATCATCAGTGGAACAGTTCAATCAAATACAACGTAGATCTTCAGACATATTCAAAGTGCAATACATTTGAAATTATTCTACCTAAAGCAATAGTAAGCTTAACCTATGATGTTCGTTATTCCTCCTTGTTTTGATTCTAAAATCGTCTAACTAATGCCTTGAATTTTTGTGGCACTATAGCACTATTTATTACTTTAAGCTTTGAATTGCATTACTTTAAGCTTTAAATGTACACCACAAATGCTAATTTTAGCAAATCCAATGATAATTAACATTGATAACACAAAATATAGCTCTTCTGGTACCTAATTCCCACAAATTGAAATGAAACCCCAAACCAAAAAGTATAAATGATTCTACTATCTACCTTATCATTTGAAAGCTATTAGAATCCTCACACAATCTTATCAAAATCAAATCTTATTGAAAGCACAATAAATAATTGCACAATGAATAAACCAATAAAAAATGAAAACTCAAAGCAAAAACAATTTGATGTGATCCTAAGCATTATCTGATCAATTACTTTCAAGCTCTTACCATCTACAATGAGTCGATCAAAATCCAATTTTTCAATCATTCTAATAACTAATTCTACAACCATAGATGCAACTCACACAAATTTTTTTTCAAAAAAAAAATCGCTTAGGACTATGAAATTTTATTATTTCTTCTTTCTTTTTTGCTTCACATTCAATAATAGAAAGTCAGAAATAAAAAAAAGGCAAACAAGAAAGAAACTCAGAAGACTGCTCAAGTTACAAAGAAAAAGTAACAGAAAAAACTTAAAGCATTCAATCAAACCAAAGATCTGTTCTTTCCCTTCATCAGCCTCACCTCATTTTCATTTCAAAAACTCATTTAAAAATGTATTTTGAACTAAAATAAAACCTTACAAAAACTGCTTAAATTAAAGAAACTTATAATCTGATTGGGCTGAAGATCCATACTTTTCTCTTCATCTGGTTATTCCTCTTCTCATCTTCTCCTTCTAATCAGGGGAAAAATTAAACAAAAAAAATACTTACAGAACCAGCTTAAATTTCACAAAAAAAGTGAACAAAAGCATACATGTTCTGATGAAGATCCATATTTTCCCTCCTTGCTTCTTTTCATGGCCTTCTTTTTTTTTGTCCCATTTCGCTTGCTGTTTAAAATGGGAACCTGAACATAATCAAAGCAAGGCCATTAGAAATTTGTTGCAATTGTGAGAAGCTAATACAAAGAAAAATCAAAGAATCCTTAATCTTGCTTTCAAACCAAATTGTTCCATTTTCACCAAAATTATGCCCGAATCTAGTTTCTTGTTTTCATGAAGCTCTATTTGTACTCTCAAAAGTTTCCATTTAACCATTTAATGGTGAGATGAGGAATAAAACCCGTAAAGTAAATTTCACAAATTTAAATATGCTAACAAATCGTTATAATTTACAAAATAAGCAATCTTGGCAATGGTTATTCGATGCACACCACAAATGTCCACTACCTAAGGCATGACAATGTGTATGTCAAACGCATCCAAACTTGGCAACAAAATATCCTAAAATAAAAACTTATATGCTATCTTACCCAAACAATACAAACAATCTAAATAAAAAAGAAATATAGAGTAAACCTCTTGAATGGCAATAATTCTTAAAAGTTTTCTTACAATAACAGCATAATGGTCAACAACAAATTCAGTAAGTATTTAAGTTTCGCATAGTTGTACAACCCCATAATGATTAAAAGTAAGAATTGACCACCATTTTTTCTTTCTTCCCTCTCTTGACAAAAATCTGAGCAGAAAATCATAGAGCAAATCAGTACATATATGACGAGTAAAGCCTAAAAAAAATTGACCACTTAAACATTTTTTTTCTCAGTAAACTTTGAATAATTCTTCACGTTTCTTGCTGTAATAAAAGATAATTAAATAAAATAAGAGACCAAAAAAAAACCTTCTATAGTAAACAAAGTAGTATTTATGATTCCAATACAGTGAATTAATGGTGTGCAAATAGTGAAGGACTGAAAGGCTGAAATTAAGAATAAACCAGCTAATAGTGACCATGCTCAACACAAAAGCAAGATAAAAGAAGATAAAAAAGGACTGCATTTTTAACTTACAAAGTTTGTTATTCCATGAACTGGTTTCGGAGTGACTACATCTTCAATCATTTGCACCTTTAACATGAACAAAGTAAATTAATAACATAAAAGAATAAAAAAATTAATAACATAACCAAAGTAAAATAAAAAGAAGATGACTTAAGAAAATAGGATCTAAATGCAAAGTAATCCTAACATCTTTTTGTTATTTTAGCTGCAAAAAATTCTCTTTACCTTTTCAAGGAATATAAAGAAACTGGAAAGACCAACATATTACCACACCAAACTTTTAATTGCCCATAAACATTGAAATCATTTTCACAAAAGGTAAAGTCCAAATAAGCAAGAAACATGTAGTAAACCACTTAAATGGTAGTAGATGGTAAGAAATTTCTCTGCATTAACAGGCTAATACTCAATCTGCCATATTTACTCTATATTCACTTTATATTCCCAAAATGTTATCCCCAGTAGATGAACTCAAACCAATCTTCTAGGAACAAAATAAACAAAAATTTAACCAAAAAATGGTATTCTTGTAAACCTAAAATAAAAGGTACTCATTTAAAAGACGACGGGCAGGCAAGATTCATGCATATACAAATATATAGGGAACATGTACTTAAAACGAGTATCTCAACTAATGGCTCCTTGATCGGTTTCAGTGCTTTTATCAGCAACTAAGAAAACACAAAAAGTATTTTTTTTCTTTTGTTTTATAGAATCCATATATACTCTCCGGAAAATGAGAACCAAAACTTCACAAGGAAAAAAAAAGAAAAATAGTTTTATCAAAAATAAAGACACGAAAAAATAACTAAAGTTTTCAACAGTCATTGACATGAAATTTGATCTCCACAAATGGAGACTTTGGGTTGGTTACCATATGGATCGTCTATTGTGAGTCAATAATTGAACGCACCCCTGAACATAACAAACCAAAAAAAAAAAAAGCCATAAGATGAGCCATGAAAACTCCATTTTTCAGAGTTTCTCGACAACCTTTTACTTCAGTTTCTCTACCGAGTAATTTTTTCTTCTATAATAAATATCATACAAGTTTGTATAGGGGGCTCTAGAGACCCAAAAGAAAGAAATAAGTAACATAGAAACTACTTAAAAAAGAGTACAAAAGTTAAAAAAATGAAAAAATAAAATAGAGAAAACCTGAGATGAAGAAGGACAAATCCCAAGGAAGCAAAATTGCACACAATGTTTCTCGGTGATGATCTTCTCTTGGCTGTACCTGTCTTGGGAGAAAGCATGGATAAAGAAATAAGGAACAATATAGGCGAAATTTAGATATTAACCAGGCAAAAATTTTTGGGGAATAAAACCAATAAATATAGAAAGGAAATAAAGATTAAGAGGCACGAAAAAGAGACTTCAAAAGGGGGAAAAAACTTACAAAATAGCATGACGACGATGGAGAAAATCTCCAAATTTCATACCTGCAACATCGCAACATCACAAAAGAAAAAAAAATTAGACGTGATTTTTTGAAGATCTAAGAAAATCACATCTGTTGATAACAAATTTCGGGAAAGAAAACGGCCATCGAACAGAGAAAGATTGCATCCTTTTTTCCTTTCTTATTTATCCAACAGATACCTTGGCCAGAAAAGATTATTAGGGAGATATAAGGGGAAAAATCCAGATAAAATGTACAAAAAAGCAAAAAAAAAAAAATCACGGAGAAAGTGTTCACCTTTAGAGAACAATCTCCACATTTCTTCATGGTTTAGTTAATAGTCTGACCTCTCAACCTATGACAAAAAATATGAAACTTATCAGAGAATGAGAGAAAATTTAATCAAGGGGAAAAAAATGTATACAGAACAAAAATGGAGAAACGGTGGATTTGAGAGGAAATCGGAACCATTGTAAAATCGGAATCATTACATTACCATTGCAAATCGGAACCAAGGCATTAAATCAGGAAAAGGAAGGTTCAAAATAGCTAAAGAAAACGAAGAACAATGTTTATGAGGTAGCTCTTTCTCTCTAGCAAAGAAACAAGAGCAATAGAAAAGGGTAAAGAAAGGAGTAGATGCACAATTACCATTGTTCATGATGTTGAGCAGCAGAAAATCTGCTGGGACCATTGTACAAATGCAAAGAAAAGCGGAGAAACTCTATAACCATTGTACAAATGCAAAGCAGAAAACAACGTCAATCGACGGGAGCAAAAGAGCTGATGGGCGACAACGAGAAGAGGCGACGGCAGATTGCAGATTTACAGACATGACCCCAGAAAAAGGACAAAAAAGACTACAAAGGCTCTTATGAGGAAGCGTAAATGGAAGCAGAAAGGATGGGTAATATAATAAAAATGAGTCAGGTATTATTCAACTCAGGTAAAATCAGCTGTCAACAAAAGGAGGCTGGAGGCTGATGACAGGAAATGTGAGCGGTGGATGAAGAAATCGAGAAACGATGCAGCCAAACTAAACAAGCAAAATTTGTCCGTTGCAAAGACCTGGTAATTAAGGGTGTTAGTTTATAAGATTAGTTAATTATGAAACAATTAACTATTAAGCCCGCCAAAAGCAAAGAAGACAAGAGTAATGAGAAGCGGTCTTCTCAAGACAGAGCAACGTAGACAGATTAAGTAACTAACAATTAATAACAAGGTAATTAATTGCGAATCGTCAGGCAAAAAAAAAGTAACAATATTAATTAATTAGTTAGCAATCAATTGTTAAAAAGGGCAGCCAAATATGATTTGATCCGCAACCCCAAAAAAGAGGCTAAATTTTAGCTAATAACTACCCAGAGCTGGTAATTAAATGCGGCTTGTTAGGTAAAAAATTTCAATAACTATAAAATTCGGTAATTAAAAGGAATTTGTCTGGCAATAAAACTGCAAAATTAGGGGCTAATTTAAAAAGAACAATTTTAAAAAGTCGATAATTAAACTTGATTTGTTGGGCAACCCAAGATAAAGGTGAACGTTTTCTTAATAAAATCTGGAAAAACAAAGGTAACTAAATGCGATTTTGTGAAGAGGCAAAAAAAATGTTTTTTTAATAGTTTCGAAAAAGTCATGGAACTAAATGTGATTTGTTAGGTAAAAAAAAATAACAAGTAAAAGTGACATCATTAATTAGCTATTAACAATGAATAAAAAAATTGGTAATAAAAAAGTGATTGATTGGGTAAAAAAATGGAATTCAAATAAAAATAGATAAATAAATAGTTATAACAATTAATAGTGGATAATCGATAATTAAACGCGGTGCGTGGCGTGAATAAACGATAAATGACACCAGCGGAAGCACACTACATTGCTGATTGTTTATGTAGAATCAATACCAAATAAAGCTGTAATGAAAATTTGATAATAATAGGTGAATGCCTTCCCCTCTTATATTCGAAAAAAAAAATGTGTTAATAATTAATATGTGTCAATTACAAGAATTTGATAATTAATTGTGATTTATTTGGAAACTACAAAATGTTAATAATTGTAAGAAGTTGAAAGTTAAATGTTATGTGTTAGGTAATAAAAAATGAAATTATTGATCAGCTAACGAACAATCAATTGGAAAAAAAGTATTGCTAAACGTCTGAGAAAAAAAAAAGAAACAAAATCCAAAAGAATTGCTAAACGTTTGAGCAAACAAAAAACAAAAGAATTCACGCGTGGGAATGGACGGCCATCAATTGGAAATTGGCACGGGTAAACAAAAGGCAAAAGGATTGCTAAAGGTCTGAGAAAAAAAAAACAAAAACAAAAGAAACAAAGCAAAGCCAACCAAAGCCACGTGGGACCAGAATTTAGCTGCAGACTTCCAGGCCAGACGTCCAAGCAAACAAAGAGAAAAAACAATCGGCTGGACAACCAATTCACGCGAGCGAATTCACACTAAGCGGACGACCACCAATCGGCCAATGGAAGCCCACCACGTCAGCAATCAGAACTCAATTGAAAAGCTTCCCATTCCCGCATAGACTAGATATGTTAATAATGTCCTAATTTAATGCATGACTTTATCGGTGTTCAGTTGTGGCCTAACTTAAAGTACTGGAAGACTGCCAACAAATAATAAAAAAAAAAGAGTACAGTACTTGTTCTGCGTTTGGATACACTCGATCGGTTTAGACCTAATTTTTTAGGAAATTTTTTACTTTTTAGATCATACAAATGTTTTCTGATGACTTTTTATTTTCTTAACTACTTTTTTAATCTCACATACTTCCCAAAAAAAAAAAAAAAGATTACGGTTTAGAGGTAGGTTACGGTTTGGAATTTGGAATGAAAAACCAAAAGAGAACAATGCTAAGGTTGCATGTGGACGTTTAAACCGTCTACCTCAGACTTATCCAAAAAGTTCGGAGGGGCAAAACAAGGAAAACAGATACTAGTATTGAATTTGTCTAAGAAATTGCCAAACGCGGGCCGCTGGCCTTGAAGTAAATCAAGAAAGGTTGATTCTTGGTATCGCTGTTGATCTGGACAACAATTTTGACCGTTTAATTCATCTTTATACCAAGTTTTGTTGGTGTTAAATCGCTAAGTCAACGTCCTAGCAACATCTTAGGATTTCGCATATGCGAGAAATTGTAGTATTTAATTGTGCAGTTAAAGGAAGAAAAAGGTTCACCAAATAAAACCTGCTAGCATTCAATAGAGGGCTGCTACAAAACTGCCTTTGGCACCATGGGAGCAATGAAGTGTCGTCATTTTTCGTGCATTCAGTAAAACTGAAGTTTGAAAATTAAAATTTAAAATCTAAATTTAAAATTTATTAATTTATTGAATTGTTAAATACTATATTTGATTATATATCATATTAAGTAATAAATGAATAATTTATCACTTATTTTTGGAAGCAAGTTTTACCTAGAAAATTTGATGCCACTTAATTAATTCAAATGTTCAATTTTTAGTTATCAAATACGTTGAACATGTTAAGATTTAAATACATTAAATTTAAGTGTTGAATTTAGTTATCAAACAGGAGCTAATTCCATTATTGTTTGTTTACTCACCAAAAGAATTTCGCTTTGGCATCCAGCGGGAATTCTCGGTGATGTCATTTTGTTTCATTATTGAAGTAACTTTTAATGGCCTGCTAGTGCTAGCTTTTTTATTTACCGTATTTGATTACTCATGACAAGTTAATTAATAGTTAATATAATCTAGAGACAGACCAAATGGTTAAAGAACTAATATAAACACTCACAATATTCCCGTCCGAAGAATTTGATTTTATTCTGTGATGTTAGTCCGGTGCTTTTGTAACTCAGACACAACCCAAAAAAAAAAAAAAAAAATGGTTACCTTCAAGTCATTTTCATACAATGCGGAACCTAATTGCATTTTTTCAGAAAAGTTGAATCTGTCAAGTGATAAGAGTGCTATGGTGGGCCAAAATATAGCTTTTCTTTACATGTAACTTTCAAAATATGTAGTATGATTTTTCTTTCCATTTGTACCCTCAAAAAGCATTGACAAAACACTTTTCTCACGAATGCCCAAATATTTACGTACATGTCACTGGGTAAATAAGTACACAAAATTACGTTGTAAGTTTGGATTGCAATTTTTAAGGGTAGAAAACCTATCAGCTGTTACCTTTTAAGCGTAGAAAAATCTTAAATCCTGTTTGGATTGTAATTTTTTTCGAAAAAATTCTTACGTTTTTTATAAATATTTTTACATATTTTTTATTTCATATACATCACATTTTAAAAAAATTGTGATAGAAATTTTTCTCCAAAAATTCTTTAAAAGCACCGCTCGGATTTTTTTTTTCTTTCCTTTTTGCGAGTGGGGAGCCGGAGGGAGTGGGGGATCCAATTTTCCATGGTCGGAATATAAAAAATGGCTAGCCGTTGCCGTTCAAAACCCAAATGTCCTCCTTGATGCACGAACAATAAAAGAGAAAATGGAAAGAAATATTAACAGTTGGTTAGCATCCACCCCACCAAGAATACGCCAGGTCAAGTTTTTAATGTGTTGCCAATCCATTAATTAATGGGTCAATTTTCTGTAATGCGAAAATGTTCACTTAGGCTTAAATGCCATGTATTTTAGGTCGGCCTAACTCATTTCTGTGTATGGTTGGAGGCTTGGAACCCTTTTATTTTCTTTTTTTTTAAAATTTTTTTTTAATCAAGAAAACTGGAATGGACCATCGTGGCGCAATATTCTTGACTCTGGAGCTCACCACTTAGGACTTAAATCATTCCCCTTTTAGGCACGTAGAATAAACTTATCACTAAATTTACACTTCGCCAACCACCCAGGACTCTGTCTACGTTTTGACTGAAATCAGTTCATGCAATTTTTTTTTTCTTCCCTACAACTGAGGAAGCCGCATCAAGACTTCTCCGCTCTGTGTCTGTCATGGACTCACTGCTCCAGCATCCAAAATGAAGTTGTCAATGGCCACCAAAAAAAAAAAAAAAAAGTGGTTCGGAATCGCTTTTCTTACCATCACCTTTCTTGACTTAATCCTCTGCAATAATTACATGTACACAGAAATGGTGCACTGTGTAATTGACCTAAAATGTGTTCATTAATCAACTATCAGAGTGGAAATTAAAGACCCAAAATGTGCAGCCCTGAATTGTCAGTAACAAACAGTCATAGAAAAAGAAAGAGATTGTAAAGAACATTAATAATGAGAAAGCATATCAGGAATCACTCACTACTTTAGGGTTTTGGGTTGTAGTAGAATGGTTGTAGACCCCTGTAGTTAAAACTTAAAGGACCACCAGGGTTAACAACAAACTAAAAGCTAAAAGATCCGGTTAGA